GGGGCCACAGTTACTGAGAGCTCAGAGCTCCAGGGGCCACAGTTACTGAGAGCCCAGAGCTCCAGGGGCCACAGTTACTGAGAGCCCAGAGCTCGGGGGCCGGACATCCAGCAGTTCTTCTCATTAAGTTTTATGGTTCAGAATCTGGTTTTGTTTAAAAATGAGCCCACTGGTGGGCCCAACTGAGCTCTCCCGTGGGCCTGATTTGGCCCCTGGGCCGCCAGTTGAACAGACCTGGTCCAGACCCTTTACGAAGCGGACCCACCTGGATCTCCATGTCAGTGATGGTGAAGCCGTCTTTCTCCTGGATGTCTTTGACCCTCAGTAGGAACCGACCAAACCGACTCCTCTCTCCTTCCTCCTCATCTTCCTCGCTGTGGCCCTCCTCCTTCTCGTCCTCCTGCTTCACCTCCTTGGTCCTGTCCCTCGGCTGAGGCCAGTACGGCTCACATTTCTGAAACAAACCAATACAAATTGTTTTTCTCCTCAGATCCGTCTCACTGATCTTTGGATCTCTGGACTTTAAATGTTTAATAAAAAAATGTCTGACAGATGATGTTGTAGCAGTTTTCTGCTCACCTCGTTGTTCTCCTTCAGTCTGGTCACCATGACGATGATGCTGCTCCTCTCCTGCCACACCATGTCCCAGAAGTCCCCCACCGTGTGCAGCATGGGCCCCTGGGTGGCGATGTAGGCCCTCAGAACCCCTTTGTAGCCCTGCAGGACAGAGAGACCATCAGACCCCACATTTGGAAACCAGTCGTGGACGACTGATCAGGAGCTGAAGAAAAACAACAGATTCAATGGGAACACGTCAAAAATCTTTATTTTTCTGCTGTTGTCACTCAGTCTTTTTCATTTAAAGTCAGCACAGACCAAAACAACTCATGCTGCGTTCACTGCACCTCCGAAAAAAGAGCACTTTTCATTTTGTGTCTTCAGCTTCACTTCAGTTTATACATAAATGACAAAATACTTGTTTCTAATGAAGACTTTACGCTGCAGTGCATTCTGGGTAACCAGTCTGGTTCTGCCCCAAACTTTCCAAACCTAAGTCGTGCTGCCATGTTGATTTTAGAGTGAAGACGTCATGACCTTTGACCTGCTGACTGAGGCCTGTAGAGTCTGAGATGGGGCTCAGTGCATGGTCTGACCTTTGGGGTGAAGCAGCTGTCTGAAATGTAGAACGATGGACTCTAAATGACCTTTGACCCTGCCCAGATTGATGGGCTGCAGCAGCTGCTTCTCTGAGGTCACTGCTGATGTCTTTCCATCTTGGCATTGCGTTGACACACACCTGTAAGCTCCAGATCAGCAGAACCTCCTGATAATGGTCAGTTAATCAATACATTTATTGACACGGGCACAGTCTCAGATTAAACGTCTGGTTTTGATAAATCGACAGGGTGGGCTCTGATGTTTCAGTCCACCTGAGGGTGGATTTGGATCATTTAAGAACCTGGTAAGGATCAGATCAGGTTCTAGCTGAATGTGTTTCCTGAGCGTGGCAGATGTGAGACGTGAACCTCCTGAAGGAAGCGGAGCTTTAAAGGCTGCAGCACCAGATCGACCCGTCTCGTATTCTGATGCGACAGCACTTTCAGTGATCGCACCATGACCACCGTCGCTGTGTCGCCTTGTTTTTGTGTCTCTGCGTTAAGAAATGTGCAGCTTCTTCACCCCCCGACCCCCCCGAAACCAGCCCACATCCTCAAACAGGAAGTGAACCATTAGGAACGTTCTGTCCATCGAACCCAACCAGAGCGTCCAGACACCGAGCGGCTTTTATGGAGGTGAAGGTTAAACATCAACAAGAGCAGCAGGTGTCGTGAAAGCTGTTAAACAGCAGCTCACACACACACACACACACACACACACACACACACACACACACACAC